GTTAAAGAAATTTCATCGAGTGGGTAACTCACCACATAACCCGAACGTATTCATTGCGTAACGTTGTAACTCATCTTGAGGTACAAACTCGGCATTGTTCCAAATTTTGCCATATTGATTTGCTATGGCCAATAGAGATAGACGGTGGTTTACGTCTAACGGACATACGCGTTTTCCTATTGATCATATAGGCAGGAGCTCTTTCCGTTGATGCGATAATTCAAAACCCTAATGTTTCGGCTGAGTTTCACTTTCAACGTAGATGTAGGCTATAATTAATAACGTTACGACAACAAGTAAATCAACGATGTCTATTATACAATCACAGCTACTATATGCTCGGCAACTGTATGGGATTTTCTACTTGTGCCGTTGCAGTTCGTTTACGCCGTCTGTCTGCTATTCTGCATTTGACTAAAGGAAGAAATGAGTACTTGGGGAAACGGGGCTCGGAAACTGGAAACTGAACTCGTTTAACTATCGCCTTTATAACCCAAATTTGATAGGGGGAATTGTGCACCCATTTTGTATGCCTTGTTAATTAGTGACACGGAACAGATGGAAAAACATGAAGGTTTTTTGTACATGCAAGCTGCATAATCGAATAGTTCATTTATGTGCTTTTCGTTTGTTTGTAGTTAGAGATGTGGCCACCATTTAAATTACCTGCAACCGGCGCCATCTTCGAAGCGAGTAAAAGCAGTTATACTTCTAATGTTATTATTCCTTTCAGACAGTTTTTGCTTGCATTGGGTGTTTTTATTCATCTGAAAAGACGCTGAGGGTTTTAAATTTTTCGAAGATATCCGTTACGGCGTCACTGCTTTACCTATAATGGCCGTTTGACGGGCGGCATACTCGATGTTGATTTTCGGCGTAAGTGCGTTCCTTCCAATCATAGGCAACAATTTATCGCTCTTCTAATCGTAACGTCTGTCGGGGTTACTCGACGAAACTGAGTGATTCTTCACGAGTATTTTGATTAATCAGAAATTGACAGATAAATGCAACGACTGATGCGCCCATTTATATTCGATAAGCTAATTGAGCAGTTCCATTTTCTGTTATTATTCCTTTGTAATTCGTTCGTTACGGTTATGTTATGATTGGGTTTTTGTCTATTAATGCTACACTTATTTATGATCTGCCTGCGAGTCGTCGTCATCCACCTGTGTCCGTTATACATATTTGGCCATGAAACAACCTGAAGATCCTTCGCAGTGTTAGCGTCTGTTGCGTATTGTCTCCTCTTTGTCCTTGACCTTGCCTAGAAATTCTCAGACAGCGTCGTTTTTACCCTGATCGACGTGTGCCTATCTAATTCATCCTGTCCGATCCCTCACTCGAATACGACTAGCAGCAGCTTGCGCCGCTGAGCACCTCTGCCTATGACACCACCGCTTTTATTATGGCTGTTACAGATTACTAACGTTTCAACGGTTATCTTTCCGTGTCGTCATCAGCGGTACCGGGACCTGGGCTCAACATGCAATTATGGCCACGCTTAATGTTGTTTGCTTTAATGCTGAGTACAACAGCAGAATAGGCGGTGACTTCAGCACCAAGTGCTGCTGTTGCCTCGAAGCCGTCGTAACATCGTCTGCTTGATAGTTGTGATTCGTTGTGCAAAGCCGATGATCTATGCCTACGTGACCTTTGCTTTCGATATACAAGTATCCATATATATATATGTATATGTGGGTGTGTGTGGGTCTATTCATGTATCAAGTCTGTGTTATGTGACGCGATGCAACGCATCGTGGTGCATAAATGCGTCTCCTATGTGTATTCAACGCTGGGCGCAATAACCGCTTCTACCTGCGGCAGGCATCGCCCGTATTTGCATGGGTAACACACTTAACCACCGGACAGAATAATCGCTCAAGAGTGAAACGATAGACGATAAAACAAGGCAATGTTGTCACGAGGATGCGGCTAGCGACAGAGCAACGGGAGTCTGTCGGTGAACCTGTCACTGAAATGGTTGCCGCCATATCGGTTCTCGGCCTACATACTTGGGCGTTGGCGACTTCATAGAAATCAAAATTTTTGTTGACCGCGTCATTATGGTCATCATCAGCTTCGTTACCGAGCTTAAGATTGGCAAGAAAAGCGACTTCTGCCCGCATCCACCGACCCGTTACCTTTTCAGGACAGTTCCTTGGGCGGCGCCAGGCGCTCGGTAACACTACGTCTGAATGGTACTAGTACTGAAAGTCGTATTAGCGACAGATGGTCCCTTCTTTGATGGGATCAGCTAATGTGAGGATCTCTGACCACAAAAATTGACTTATTTCAGTTAAAAATTTAGGGAAAGCTCTCGTATCGAGTTGCGATAAATATGTAAGAAAACTTGTTTTACTTTTGTCACCCTCACAATTATCGATTCGCTTATCATTCCTTCTATCTGTTCAGATTTAATTTTCCCGTTTTTTTTTTTGGTTTCTTTGTTAATGATGTGAGCCGTGCAGTATCCGTTTATCCGTTCATATGCGGTTCCGTTTATATATAGAGATTTTTAAGGGTGCTGTGCGCGGTTAGTTGCCGGTAGAATGTGGTCCGTGTGTGTCACGTTAATGTGTAGTGACCGCCATCATCTAGGATATCGTGTTGTTTTATAGATACATGCCACGTGTGCTGCGTTGGAGGATTATTAAATCTGCACTGTAATAGGCACTGGAAAGTATGCTTAAGGTTTAGGTTTAGGTTTTTCTTTAATTAATGCCACCACCGTATCCGCGAGAGTGAGCAGATCACCATAAACATGGCGAACTAAATAATTACATCACCTTGGAATATCTCTGCAGGTGGTTACAAGACTTGATGAATGTTTAGCATTCTTTTCGTGAGGTTTACAATCGCGCTAAAGAAACGGTGCTGAACCAAAGGCTATGGTGGCTCAGCGACTGCCTCATTCCTTCTTTACGGAGGAACCAATTTAAAGCCATATGAGCTCTACCTGAGCTAAGTGGGCAGCTTTTTAAAACTTGAATATTCATTATCATAATCATCATCATCCGTGTAGTTATGTGCTAAGCATAATATCTTTACATTGCTTTCACCGTCAGCATCATGAGTTTTATCATATCAATCACCTGTCTTTCTTACGGATCGTTATCCAGTCGCCGTGGAGCCCTGCAACTCCGAATATAGTTACAGGGTTATTATACTGAATCCTTATTAATGCATTCACACAAAGTTTGGAAATACTATATCGCTTTTTCAGATGTTCCCGGGGGTTCGTCGTCGCTAAGCTCATTCATGAAGTTAAAGGGGCTCGTCGTCGCTAAACTCATTCATGAAGTTCAAGGGGCTCCTCGCGTCTTTCAAATTTACCATCTCGTCATACCGCTGTATCTCTGAAACCCAATGGGTTAGCTAGTCGCGTTTCTTGTGCACAAATGCTGGAAGAACACGTTACCCCAGCAGCCATGACGAATTGCAACGTTTGCGGCTGGTTGGACTTCGTTTGCATCTATACATGCCATATCCCACACACGCATCACTAGTTTGTCCCAACTGGTTTGTTTGCCCAACTGCCCCAACCTCCGAGTCCCCGCGGTTGTCGCGGCCCGTAATAGCCACAGTGTAGTCATTGGTCATGTCGGTACTGCTCTCAATTCTTAACCTTTATTTGTTTGTTTCGTGTATGTTTCTTATCATTTCTACCTTATCTGTGTACTCTGGTATGAGGTTCGTGTGTACTTGTCAACATCTGAAGGTCTTTTTTAAAAGAGATCCAACAATTTGTCCCACTTTTATAGCGAAACCGTACAGATAATTGCGTGGTGTCTGGAGGGATCCATCATACTTTCTTACTGGTAAGCTTATCAGGGCGATTTAAATGACGCGACTAATTACACCGTGTATTTTGAACAATTTAAAAAGGGAGCAACTGTAGCGCGTTTGTCTCATACTGCTGCTACGATTGCATTGTTTTGCATTTGTACATGTACAAATGTTCTGGCAAACGAATCTCTTATGCATGCAGAAGCGTAGTATGAACCGTCAAAAAAGTACTGTCCCAAAATAAACACAAATATTGCAAGAGAAAAAGCGTGAGAGAGAAGAACATGCTCCGTTACTTGGCGGGCAGTTTTGAAATTTGGTTTCCTTTTAAGCGACTCTCATACCTGCCCGTGTGTAAATCACTTGGATCGTTATAGCTGCAAGTGCTCTGCTCCGACAGGTCCTTTAGGGCCGCGAAAACAAGATGAGGTTTTTATGTCCGGGGGGCTTTATACCAGCGTTACTGGCACGGACGAAAAACTAAGACAAGCCACCGGGATAACCGATGTGCAAAGCTTAAGTATTTTCTTGAACCTTTATGCTGTGTTGTCAAGGTGCGCACCCTACGTGGCTACCGGCACACGTCAGACACAGCTACCGTACGTAGTACTGGGGCCTATTCCTTGCTCGTCTTTTTTACGCGACTGAGTTAGGTATGACCCAACGTGTGCTACGGGTCACGGCGTACTAGACGAAAGTTCATAAAATGTGCGTTATGCTTCTTTCTCCGTTTTAGTCTCGAAAGGCGGGTGTATTCAAAGGGGTGAAGTTCAACTTGTTCGCCTTCGTCTGGCGAAACCTAGTAACAGGTATGGATCAATATCTGATTAATTATTGAACTGATTAGACATGTCATGATACTAATTTTTTTTTCTCTGGAACATTGGAAGCTCATAAGACAGCTAAGTACGGTGATCAAAATAAACACATCGTCACGCAGTAAGTTCAACCCTGGAATCTTCACTGAAACACCAAAAGCGTTTCGATATGTATAAGACTATCATTAAATATATTACGATGAACGAATACTCCAGTACGCCGTGTGGCTGATGCCGATTCCGTATGCACATCGGATAAAGGCAAATTAACATCTTACTTTATCTTATTCTTGTTTGGCCTATTTTTACGTATTGTCCTTTGATGTTTTCGATTGCTTGCATGTTAGATTGAATGAGCAAAAATCTTGCACCGATTATACAGATTACTGGAAATATTTCACACCAATAACTGATACAACAAATCAAATTGTTGGAGATGGTCAGCGGATTGTGACGAACGCGGATATCCACGTAATGCGCGTTGTGTTGTGATTAAAGTATTGATATGCCATGTCACGTTATGTTCGGTCGACTTACGAGACAACTACAGTATTCTCATAGTAGAAGTAAGGGCTATAAACGTGGTAACAGACGCCGTTGTTTTCGACTACTTGGTCTTTTGTATATCCAAACCGTAATGTCCAGAGCAGAGATGGTGTCCAGTTTGTCCACAAATGGACGCAGGGCAGATCATGTTGCCCAGACAAACGATTTCGCGTTTCTTATTTTGTGATGGGAAACGCACGGGATTCCCACCACGAAACAAGAAGATTTCGCATATCTATTTGCAGCTTGACCCATTTGCCATTTTCAAAAAAAGGAAGTACTTTTCATTTAGCCTTTACTGCTATTTAATGTATATAACTGTTTGTTACTTTCGGTTTATTCCTATTCAGTGTATATAACAGGGGATGTGGCAGGCATTTAACAAATACGTCGTGCAATTCGAATCTTTGATGTGAGACTTATAGTACAACAGCTTTCATCAATAAATCTCTAGCTGAAAAAATTTTAGTACCAGCAATGTTTTATCACCATTAAAGCCTATTTAACTATGTCTGTTCATCACGGACATTCAGAAAAGACAGTCTTTTGTTTTCTACTGGCGAACTTTTGCCAAGTTATTTGCAACGGGGCATTGCGATGGTTAGAAGCTAGACATTTGTATTAATCATGCCATGCGGCGTTGCTGAGTTTTTTTTCGGTATATTAGTCGTTTTTCTTGATTCCTCTGCAGTCGGTACAGATGCTTCGTAAAGGTTACGAGTCCGGTTCCATGAAAGAAGATCGTTGCCTAATAATTAGCTAATGCTCCGATGCCTGGTTTAATCCTGTCCTGTTGTTGTTGTGGACGTTGTTGTTGTAGTTACTGCTGAAGTCCCTACTGATGATTTCTCCCGCATGTAGCTTGTCGATTCTGGCTATTTGAATAGGATCTTTCGAAAGGCTCTTCGGAAGTCCCGATTGAAGATCGTGTATATGATGGGGTTGACCGCCGAATTGCAGTAGCCAAGCCAGAACGCGACAGCAAATAGCGTCTCGTTAACTTTACACGCCTCGCAGAGAGCGCCAAGGACGTAGAACAGGAAGAACGGAAGCCAAGCTAAAATGAACGCTGCCATAATAAGTCCGAGAATCATCGTTGCCCGACGTTCCCGGGCTTTGGCAATCTTTTTGCGGTTACGTTCAGCTTCCGTCTGTAAAATGAAACAGAAAGCAATGGCAAGATAACTAGCAATGGAAAAAAAAAGTAAATTACAAACACGTTTATCTAGTTACGATAAGCCGCTTATCCCACTGTCACGCAAACAGCAGATAGTAAATAGGGAATAACTACTTTTCTGTTGGTCTTAATTAAATGAAAACCAGTGTAATTGATTTGTGATAATTAAGGTAACTCCGGTAAACGAAATACAACGATTCGAGTACTGAGTATTAGACGTGGAGCATTGGCACCTTATCTGGGCTCGTCCTTTTTATTTTCGATGTTTATTCGGTTTAATAAATGTCAGAATTGGAAACCCGCTTTCTCACCTGTGTTCGTCGCTGTTTTGCGACAACCAATGCAGCGTTGTTGTTTGTACCACCCCCGGCCGTCGTCATTTGTTCTGCTAGAGCCAACTTCGGACTGTCGCTCAGGGAGCATCTGCGACCTTGGTAAGGGAGATCTACTCCTTGCTGCTCCCGATGATGATGATGATGCGGGGGATGTTGCTGCGATTGCCGATGATGTAACAGCTGATTGAGGGAAGGTGGCGGAGAAGAGTTGGAGTCGTTGGTCTGTGAACCATCGTCCGCTTCTGAAACCGTCCCACCACCATTTGAAGGCACTGCTACCGCCTGTAAAATAAGTGAAAATACCGAGGTTAGCTCAGCATTGTTTGGCTGTCTATAGAATTTTTGTCACCTGAAAGCGATTACTGGAATGCAATTCCACCGATCTCCATTTTGGTATTAACATATCGTTGAAACCCTGTGTGCACGGGCGAGCTCACTCAAGAAGAAATCTGTGTGTGATCTAGAAAAAGTTACGACTTTTGTACCTGCCTTTATACTTTTTTGGCGCTCTCTCTTAATTCTCGCTAAGACACAGCTGATGAAAATATCAGCTGTGTTTTAGAGTTATTAAATAAATTATAGAGTAATTTATCGTTCGATAGATACACCAGACACAGGTGGGTATAGTTTGTAGAGTATGTTTTGCATATCTTCGTTGTCGAGTAATTGCTGTACGTCTGCAACAGTGAAAACCGTTACCTGTTACGAACAGGTGCCATTTTCAGATCTGTGCTTTTCTTTCTAACGTATGGGCGTGCTATGTGCCGTGAGGCTGAATTTGCGCGGCGGAGCAACAATTTCAGAGCTAGCAACCACAAGGCACTCCTTTTTGCGGCTTGACGACCTTGAAGCGCTGGCGGAGTTGATAAGGTCTTTGTTACTGCTCATGAAGTTCGGGGAACAACGTGTTACCTGGGCCCTTAGGGATACTCCAATTTCAACTGCTTCGTTGCCTCGGAAGTAGCTGGTGTTTCTTCTCTCAAGTCTATTCCTGTTCCTTGATTTCAGTTCCTTACACTGCTCTTTATTAAGCGATCTTTCCTCTTTCGCAATCGAAGATCAAATTTGGTGAGGCAGGATTAAAACAGCGTTTGTTTCCATAGACTTGGTGTTAGGCGATCTTCGATGGTCCCAATATGCCTTACACAAACCCTAAGGAAAATGGGTGAAATAAATTGATAGATCTTCGGGTTTTTTGTCCCGATCTCTGTGATTTGCTTAGAGCTGTAAACATGTATATTGCCTGTCGGTCCGATCCTGAAACGCTTGTGAGTTGTTGATAAAGACGCTTTATTCATTTTATGCTGGCGCTCCTGGAGGATAAATATTTTCAGCACACATTGCTGCTACTGTTATTGCTAAAATAAAACTGAATTAATGGTTAGCAGTAGTTGCTCTTCGACGATCTATTGGATTCGCACGTCGCGTAGGTGTTTACCAACCAATTAGTCCGCTAATCTGGCGCACCAAGCCGAACGAGCTAAAAGGAAACAAAAAGCTACGACAGGAAACTGCTATCGTTGTTTTTATTCACGTTCGGTTATCGCACATTGCCCTACAGAAGGCCCAATAGGCCGACGGGAAGAAAGTGCGTACGGGCGGTGTTGTAGGAGAAACCCAATCAATTCAGACTCGAGTGGAAACACTAGATTCGGCTATACTGCGGTATACGTAAAGTGGCCGGTGGGGGGTTAATGAAAACGATAGGAAACAGGGCTGGCTGGCTCGAGCGCCAGCTCATTCACTCAATTCGGCTTTCGGTACTGCTAGTAATGGGCCACCGCTTTTGCAGAAAACGTCGGAACCGCTGACGTAGCAACGGTTTTAGCAGCAGCAGGTGGGAGCTGCCGGCGCGGCCCGCGGATAAAATACCTAGCGCACACAAACGGCTTGCCAGAAAAACATGAAAACCATCGTGAACCAACGTGAACGGAGCGATATTACCTCTGTCTAGCAGATACGCTAGAATGGCACTAGTCAAACGGAGACGCCTTTGACTGCCATTATTGGCAATGCTATGTGTTCCTGTCTTCCGTCTTTTCCCTTCGAAGGAATGCCCTACACGAGAGTGCTACTGCTGCTAGTGCTAGCAAAGTTCGAGAGAGCGAACAGTGGGTGGCGAACACTGCCGGAGTGTTCTATATAACCGATATTGCGCAAAGCAAAAATTCTACATCAAAGAGGTCTAAGGGAGGTTCACACTGCGTTTACACTTTGTCATAGCAAACATCACCACTTCCATCAGACACTAGTGGCAACAAAGACATAGTTGTCTGTTTTATGGAGAAACGAACCCACCAGACGGTGAAAGCGGCACTCGGACAAGACAGTCGCCATTGGCAGTGAGGTAGCGCTGGAAAAAGAACGAACAACGGACACGACACCAGCAACGGAGTGATACGAACCCTGTGAAAAGGATAGCAGATGTGCAACACGTTAGAGCAAGTTAGAAGTCTAGGCAGACTATACGCTTACGACCTAGTTCGTGGCCAGTCGCCAATTCTAATGGCTTAGCAATGCTATTAACAGAGAGGAGAAAGCTTCAAGAGTATCCAATTTTATGTAGACCGCCGAGATGCGAGAAGAAAGCCAAGGAGAAAGAAACGGTGATGCCGACGACAATTACATCAACTGGCTGGTTAGCGGAAATGAGAAAGAAGTGTCTAAAAAGAGAGAGTGTGAAGCGCAGAGTGCGCCGAACGCCAGAAGAAACTCTTAACGAAGACAAGAGGCAAAGCAGCACTGGAGCATTGATGAAACCGACAGAGTCAGTGTTCCCTTTGTTTTCTTTGTCAATAAATCAGCTTCACAATGAAGTCTGATCGACGGAGCATATTCTACTAGTATGCCTCGTAGAATGGTGACTAGTCAGCCGCAACTGAGCTAGACGCAGAGTGACCGAAGGAAAATATGCCAGTTAAGCATGAAGTCAGTTCAATAGCGTGAGAATACACACACCGAGGCAGAAGGGTGGACCCATCCCGCTGGCGACCTTGTCTTACGAGAAAGGCACTGTTAGACCGCGTTGATTATAAATAAGGGCGACAATTACCGGATCTAAGCAAGATGCAAAGACTGGATCAGACTTTCCTTCATTTTTTTCTTTATGCCTTTGCCCACCGAGCCTGTCGTGTGAGAATCCGTCATGGTACGGGATCGAAAGCGGAATGAGTGATAACCTCTCCAAAAAACGGGGTGTGTTAGAAAAACCTTTTTCTGGACGCGAGAATATCCCGTTCGGTCACCGCAAGCTGGGTTGAAGTCGCGTAACATTTCCTTGTGTCAAATAGTAAGTTTTCACCCCGCGTTCCTATTCTCCCTTGCCTCTCTTAAACCTTTTTCTGTTCTAACTATGCGGCATTTTCCCCGTCTAATGTCTGCTGTCATCGTCGACACTATGAATTTTCTTGTCAAGTGAAAGTTAGAATGAAAAGGCACCGAGCTGCATGGCACGCCCGTTTGTAGAAGAAGAACCCCCTGTTAAAAAGACGAAATGAAGATGCGCCTTTACCGTACATAGTCGTAATGGCAGTACAAGCTCGAAGAGAGATTTGAAACTTTCAGCCACACATGTGCAAGCGTCCATTCACTCGCGACACGGTGCCCCAGTGCATCCTGCATTTTGTTGCATAAACCGAAAGAGTGAAGAAGGGATGGAATGTCACAAAACAATTTCTTTCGATATTATCAGCAAACCCTGTTGATTTCTTTTAATTGTAAGCGGTAACAGCGGCAAATCATTAATTGCACTGGAGGCCGTTTTAGAGTAAAATTTACTATGTTGATAAGTGAATATGTACCTCTTGAGTTTTATCTCAAATTATAAACACCTTTATTTCTAACAAAGTATAATAATGGTTCTATTTTATATAATATTTCTATTGCCAACGCTAGTCCACTCTTACCACTGTTATTAACCTTGTTAAAAACATCTGTTGATCTAGTCCCTCTACACGGATATAATGGAATTTCAACATAGTAACAGATGGTTTAATTGGAAACGTACTGCTAAATAAGCTCAGATCTTTTTGGAGTCTGAAAACCAGGAGCTTTTAACGCTTCTGAATGCTGTGGAAGCTTTCAATAGCAGTAAAATGCTTGGGGCAACAAAAGCAAACAAAGCTGGATTCGATGTGGCCATGAAAAGGTCCTTCTGCAGCTAGCTTTTCCGTTGTGCTTAATACAAAAGTGCTAGTCTTGTTTCCTCTGTGTAACAAAGGTGTAAGGTTTTATTTAGCTTTGGTTAAATGAAAAGTAGCGAATTCGTTGCCGATAGTAGTTAACCTTGAACATAGGTGACCTACGAAGTTACGTGTTCCTATTAATATATGTTGCGTATAATCCAGCATTTTAGAGTGAACGCTGTTGCAGATCGATGTAGGAAATACGCTCGTAGCGACGATGTAGCGACAAAACTGGCCAGCAGCCGGCCGAGCTCTATATAAGTCTAACCCAGCTATACACTCAAGAAGACTACGCTTCTACGAAAAAAGAAATAGTATCATTTCCTTACTCTCCTAATGCCAACGTGCGACGAACCAAATATTGCTAACCTGACACGAAATCCGCGACGTTCGCGTTCTGGCCGCTTTAGTCGTGTTTATTACCTACATTTATAGAAAAGTTTTTGAGCGCGACGTTTGCTTTACGTCCATAAGTAAACATGCAAAACAAAAAGTGTGTTTATTTATGATAATAGTCATTAAGGCACCGCGAAGCCCGTGAATGCCTGCCTGTTGTACAAAGAGAGGACAGGCAGATTACCTGGTATTTGCTAGCAAAGTATAGGAGCGAGCCGTCATGTCGCCCGTTACCTCCACTTTGAATGGTGTATGGTAACTGTGATATACAATCCTTTACCTTTCAGCCTAGCGCGAGTTAACCAGCCTTTTGCATCGGCCAACAGCGCTAAACCCAACTGCATAGTTTCACCAACCTTTGGTAGCACCATGTTAGGCCGTCTTTTTGCTGAGGAATGTTTGACACGAGAACAGATATCTCACCATGCTAGAGCTAAAGCAGGCGAATTGTCCTACAAAAAGGCTTTGGATAATGGCGCTTTGCGGTAGTTGAAGCCGAGTTTAAATTGGTAAAAGAGGTGTCTGCATATGTTGCTTATCTAATCTTTGTAATTTAATATTATACTTAAGGCGCGTCAATTGAGCCTAACCCGAGCCAATTTTTACTACCCAGCTTTGTAATTAGCGCAGAAGTAAAAGGCCACTACAAGACAATGTACATACAAACGGTATCTATTTACAATCAATATACCTGGGTACGAT